CTTTGGAAGAGACAGAAGCTTTTATTTCATTCCCCAAACACCAAAGGACACAGAACCAGACTTAACATGGAAGCCTTGGTTTCCTGCATGCCAAGTTCTGAATATGTTTTTGTTCAGTCCCTGTAAGACACACAGGCCTAAATTGGAAAGCTGCTTTCAAAGCATACTTGTTTTTTTGTAAAGACAAGCCACAAGTCACAGAGCATGAAACACACATTTTGCATCTAAAGGAGATGTCTCCTGCCATTAGTGACAATGCCAGTACTTCCTGTTTAAGGGAAAGGCATAGACTTGTCAGTTCTACATCTAGAGAATCAGAGAGGACTTGTTCTGCAGGGCTTGAAAAATATATATTTGCCTTTGAAAAGCTTTCTGCCATAAAATACTTTGAAAATAGAATTGCCTATAAAACTATAATAAAATGAGTTCTTTATGATCACAAATATTTCCTCTTGCCCTTTGTTTGGTGTCACCTGATAGGCCAACCATTTCATCACATTATATAAAAAAGGAAAAAGTTTAAGGCTTAGTCATGCCTACCTTTTGTTTTTAAATGCTTATATCAAAAGTCATACCACAGCGATATATGCACACCCAGGTTTACAACAGCATAATTTGTAATAGCTAAATCTTGGAAACAACCCAAATATCCATCAACTGATGAATGGATAAAAAATATTTTTATACAATAGAGGACTATTCAGCCATATAAAAGAATAAACTTGAGATTCTTAGGTAAATTAATGCACCTTGAGACCATACTCTTAAGTGAAATAAATCAGTCATACATGTGTAAATATCCCATTGTCTCTCTGGTGTGAGAAACTGAAAGTGTAAGTAAGGACCAAAATGTATAATCAATATTGTGAAATAGGAAGAGATTGTTCAAAAAGAAAGGGGAACCAGAGGGAGAAGGGAAAAGGAAGAAAGGGAAAAGAAAAACATGAGAAAAGAAGGATAAAATGAAAACAAAGCTTTGTAAATAAGGAGGGGAAGAGGGGTTGAAGGGAGGGGAGGTAAATGGGAAAAAAATAAAGAAATACCATGTACAGGTGCAAATTCCCTATGATGAATGTGATCATTATATATATCTAAATTGTACCAAGAAACTAATTTTTAAAAAGTCAGTTCTAGATTGGCATTTAGAAGAAAGCAGGTGGGCTGGTTGGAATCATATTTCCTTGTATCATAGAATTCTGGAAGGAGAGGCCTGAGGGTGAGGAAAATTTGGGGATGGATATTATTAATTCATTAGAAATTCAGACAGAAAATGAGAGCAATCCTTCTAAACCAATTGGTATAAACCAATGGAGAGCATGGCACACCCCTTTTGAGAGAACTACTTATCTTAAAGGTAATTTGCATATTACCTTTGTACATATTATAATTGTTCAAAAAAGGCCACTTAATAAAATACCTGAACAGAAAGATTTGCAAATTGTATAGCAAAACCTAACAGCAAGAAAAGATGTTTTATGTTTAATAAAAACTAGTACATAGCCGGGGACTTAGCTCAGTGGCGCCCCACCTGGGTGGCAAGCTCAAGGTCCTGAGTTTGATCCCTGGTACCAAAACAAAAACAAAAAACTAGTACATAACAAAGAACTGACAAAAATATCCTTAGTTATTACTCATCTCTGCTAAATTCAGGCTAAGCTTAAATACTTAGGAATTTGATTTCAAAAGCACCTTTTAAAGAGACTTGGATTTCTTTTGGCTGAAAATGTTCTGGCAAAGGTCTCACTTTCTATGAAATGAGGTGTGTCAGACAGAAAGTATTCATTCCATTCATGCTGACAGGCAATGACAACTGACTTAGTGGTAAATGAACAAAATTTCTGAGGTGATTTTCCAATGGTACATGTGCCACATGTATGTACCATAAAGTACATTACTGCTTTGTTAGTTCTAGATAGAGATTCAAGTTTTCTTTCATACACAAAAAAAGAACTTTTCCTGATTATTTCCTTTAGAAGTCAGACTATTACCTGTAATTGAAGTTCATTATTTAGGACTTTTAATTTTGTTACTGTGGTAAATCTGTCATTCCATCTACTAAATAAATAGTATTTTTAAAAAGGAGTTCATGCAGAACCTGAGGATGGCCACCAGCACAGGAATAGATCCTGACTCAAGCTTAGAAGATAAGCAGTGACCCAAGAAGCAGAGGTCAGGTTAGTGGATGAAACAGTGACAGGTGGTTAAATGCCTCCCTATTTGAGTAGGACAGTCATATGAGAATGGAATTTCTTAGGAACTGGAAGGGTAGGACAGTGGAGGAAGGGTTCACATTTCTTTTATAGCAGAAGTGCTATATGAGAGTATGAAATGAAATCCATTAATAGTTTATGTTTTCTAGTATTCCTGGAAACTTTTCTTTAGAAATTTTCTCTCTATTGTGGGCTCCAGACTACAGATAGTTTTTACCAGTGCACAAATACCTGGATTCCACTGAACCCTTCTTTTTTTTCAGATTGTAAATTCAATCTTAAAATAATGGAGGTATTTGGTGATGAGACTAAATATAGGCTATATATATATATATATATATATATATATGAATTAAAAAGACCAAAAATACTGACCACATAGATTTTGAGGCTGAAACTGATTCGGTGGCCTTAGATAATCATCAAAATAAAACAATCTTTAAAAAATGTTTTTGGCTTTTGAAAATATCAGAGTTGCTGTTTATGACTTCTGGTTTTAGAGTTGTATCAAAAAGCATTTCATTAGTGATTAATTTTGTTTTGTATCTGAGAAATAAAATTGGGTACGATATACTGTTCTTGAACAGATCTTTGGAAATAAATCTGAGATGAGAAACACTTAAATTACACACCTAAACTTGGTTTAGTGCTGCATGTCTGTAATCCCAGCTACCAGGGAGGCTGAGGCAAGAATATCACAAGTTCAAACCCAATCTGGGCAACTTAGTGAGACCTTGTCTCAAAACAAAAGAGTCTGAGGATGCTTGGCATAAGAAAGCTAGGCTAGGGAAGCTAGCACTCTTGGAGTCTGAGGTAGGAAGATCATGAGTTTGCATATGGCTTAGACAACTGAGAAACTGAGTGAAACTGTCTCAAAATCAAAAATAAAAGGGCTGGGAATGTAACTCAGTGCAGAGGACCTGGGTTCAATCCCTAGTACCACCCCCAAAAATTATATATTTAAATTAAGATACTTCTTTCAGAGAAAAGCACCTAATAGGATGATTCTTTAGATAGTTCCAAACTGGATAGTATAGTCAACATAGATGTCTCTTTAAGACATGTAATTTTTTAACTTAAACCAGATATAACAAGAATAGACATTCTGTTGGCATTAGTAGTTCTGGAAATGCTGACAATAAATACAGCAGTGGTGGTGAACCTATGGCACATGTGCTGCACTGGGCACACAGAATTGTCTCTGTTGGCATGTGAGCCAGGTTACCCCAGCAGCTGAGCACTGGATATTCAGGTTTAATTGCACTGTTGCCACTTTATGATAAATCAGTGAGTTTTGGGTTGCAGTTTTGGTACTCAGTCTCTAAAATGTTTGCCCTCGCTGACATAGAGCATGATCCAAATTGCCAAAGGCCCACCCTACCTCAAGTATACAGAAGTGGTAAAACCATCACTGCATAGTCAACAGGAAGATGAAAAACCAGCAAGTGTATTAACCCCAAGGAGGAAAACAATCTCATGTTTAAACATGAACACAACCTTTCCTCTAAGAGTCTATAGACCTGTTCTAGAAATAGATTTTTTTTCAAAAAGTGTATGTTAGCACAAGGTAATAAACCTACCATATTTAAAAAGTAGTGATCATTTTGTCTAAAAAATCTAAAAACTTCATGTAATATCTAGATAAGCAAAACCCCTGCTTTTTATATTAAGTCCTTCCTAAAGAGCCTGTTTTACAAAACTTAGCTAAGCACATTGACTATGTCTCAGGCAGAGAAAGAACACTGACATTTTTCACTTGTTTTCTGAATGGATGGTGAGAGTGCTATTCATTTCTAAAGTTAAATCCATTTTTAGAACAATAATATTCTTTCTCTTGCTTATATTATGGACTGCTTAGCATGCATATACTAGTCACTCAATTACTAAATGCTCTAAATTCCCTTGCAGATTTTTAAGTGGGGGAGGAATGCCCTGGTCTCATTCACTTAAACCAATTAGAAAAGTAGCATATCCTTGTTTGGGACAAAACATCACTATGGCACTATGGTTACTACAGGTATCCCTAGCAGAGAAGCAAGTTAGTAGCTAACTCACTGTTGCTTAGAGCAGACTTCCAGCTTGTTGCTGGCCTTGGAGTTACTTGTGTAGAGCAGACATCTCTGCCCAGTACTAACAGGATATATATATATATATATATATATATATATATATATATATATGTCACATGCTTCTTACTTTTCCATAATTCAGCTATATTGTTTTATCTTAGGAGTCTGACCAAAGCTTTCTGTACTGAAATGGGCATGTCAGATAGCAGAGTTGGGCTAGTATTTCTCCTTTGCTAATGGCTGCTACTGAGACTTAAGTCCTAGTCCATGAAGTAGCAGGGCTTGGCCAAGTTCACTTCCAGCCAAAATCAACCTGGCTCTCACCAAATCCCTCCCCCAGAATTATGGCTTCTCACTGACCTGATGGGTTACTGGTTAATTGCAACACAGTCCCAGTACCCTTTGATCTCTCTAAGCAAGATAAGCAGTGCCTTTGCCTGTTATATCCCTGCCTGCATATTAGCTATCCCTGCCTGCATATCAGATATTTCTGCCTGCATATCAGCCACCGAGGGATGCTTCCAGCTAGATGCTTCCAAACACTTCACTGTGCCACTTAATGTCTTCAAAGCATACGTTTCCTACCTTCCCACAATTGTAATCAATAAAGTACTGGGTGCCCTTGATGCCCCTTGTCTTTGCTGCCCAGAGTAGCACTGATCTGTCCAAGACCCAGTTCTCTCTAAGTCTCATTTCTTTCTTTATTCTTTATCAGCTTGTGTTATACTGGCTCACAGGAGACTGTAGACTTACTGCAGAAGTCTATGGTAAAGCCCCCATTCCTTTTCCCTATACTTGTGTTTTCAGTGATGCCCATGCACTCAAAGAAACTCATGCCTCCAGAAAAGCACCTGGTCTCAGAGATAGCTGTGTTTCTAGAGATGTCCATATTTCTAGAGAAGCTCTTGGCTGCAAAAATATCCATGTTTCCCAGGATACCAGTGACCTCAGAGATATTCACATCTTCAGAAAACCTGATAGCTCCAAATATGCCCATATCTCCAGAGATGTCTATGGGCCTAGAGATATCTCTATCTCAAAAGATGACGGGGACCTGGGATTTAGCTCAGTGGTTCCAGCGCCTTCCTCACAAGCCACAAGCACAAGGTCCCGAGTTTGATCCCTGGTACCAAAACAAACAAACAAACAACAACAACAAAAAACATGACCATGGCTCTAGAGATGTCCAAATCCCCAGATTTTATATATATATATATAGTCTTAAAGGTGCTCATGAACCTACAGCAGTTATAGTGGAGGTCTGTACCCTGGCTTTTTACTTGATCCATCTGAGCTCAGAGGCCTTCTTCCTTGGACCAGGTGCTATTCTTCATCAAGGTATTTAAGTCTCCGTCAATACCCATAAAGCCAAGAGGATTGGGCAAAGGCCTTCCCAGATGTTGGGATAATAAATTCCCCAACTGAGAGCAAGTACGGACCTCTTCTGATGGCTCATCATAAGCTTGCAGTTTCTGTTTCAGGAGCAAAGTATAGTTGAGAAAGAATTAGACAAAGAATATACTGGGAAAATATTACATTGACCTGAAAAAATCCTGCTGCTCTCACATGATGGCAAATTACTTTTTGTCTCCATTCCCTCCTCCCAGTTTTTCCTTATCACTTGTCATGAAAGAACCTCAAAGGTCTTATATCTGTAAAAGTCTTCTTTTCTGAAGAATTCAGGGGGGTTTTTTTGGGGTTTTTTTGGTACCAGACATCGAGCTCGGACCTTGCACTTGCAAGGCAGGTGCCGGAACCACTGAGCTAAATCCCTGGCCTTGAATTCAGTTTTATTACTGGGATTAAGGGCAGAAAGGGAAATGATCACTAACATTTATTGATTACTTCTACATGCCAAACACATACAGTATTTCCTTTTACTCTTATGAGAAAACTATTAGATATTAGATGTATTTTACAGAGAAAGCTGAGAAAACTGAGGCTCAAAAGTTTAGTCAGTCACTCAAGACTACATGCTTAAGAAGTAAAAAGCTATGGTATGAACTTATATCTTGTTAATGCCAAGTCTATGACTTGTTTACTAACTCATGCTACCTCCAAAGGATATTTTCACTTTAAGGGATTACATAATGACTCACTAATACTTTACTGCAGTGATTCTTTTGGGATCATAAGCCCTTATGAAACTGTGAAGCACATTATAGATGTCCACTTCAGAAAAATATAGGCATGTATATATATTGCACATATATGCACAGGTGTTTAGGCATAATTTAAAGGGGTTCACAGATCTTGAAAACTCATCTGTGGCCACCTATGTGTTCATGCATTCCAATTAAGAGCTTCAGCCATTTTTATTTTCCTGACAATCATAATCAAATCCTAGAAATCATAGTGATTTTTACTAAAAATATTGATAACCCTTAGAGAGAGGTACTGGATGGCCAGGTGGTTTTAAGTATCTTTTAAACCTTTCACTTTGTACTTTTTTGTATTCTGTATTTTTTTAACTTCATAGTTGTCTTTTTCAAAACACATCAACAGAGTTGTATGGCTGATAATGATATGGGACATGAAATATGAAAATATTATCGCTTTTCGGCCTTTTGGCTAAGATCAAGTGAAATATGAAAATATTATATCTCCCAACCTGTTAGATGTCTGATATGCCCAGATCGTATTCTCTAAAATCAAAGAATGAATTCAAGGAACAATGGCACTTAAGAGTAGGAAAATATTGAGAGAATAGCTCCTGAGAGAAAGAAGGGATCCAAAAGGGTAGCTGAAGACTCCATTTTATAGGGAAGTTTTATATAGCAAAGCCAGGTGGGTACAATGTGGATTAAATCTATGATCAATAAGGCTACAAGTATAGTCACTTAGGTAATAGTGATCCAACAGGGAAGCAAGTCACGTAGCAAGAATACATGGAAAGAACAGAGAACTTCTCAGGTAGGTGTTGAATCTTGGAGTCTTGGTCACCCACTGACAGAACTGATGCCTATGTAGACATTACTAGATCACGTATTATCGTTTATCTTATCCCTAGGGGAATTTTGTAGGCCTGGTCTTTTAGTTATTTTTTTGAGGCTTGGCCCCCAACAGATGTGTCTCTGGCTGCAGTTGTAGTGTATTTTCACCTTTTTTCCTGACTCTCGGGAGGCCTCAGCCCTGTCAGATTGCCTATTATATTTCTATCTGACTTAGCTCTGTATAATGTTCTCTCCTCTGAAGAGGTATCTTGAACTGCTATGAGGGGACAAAGGATGATGACCATTTGGTCTACTTAAGGCTGAAGGGGGTTGTAGTTGTGATTGAAAGTCAGAGATACTCTCCAGAGCATCTATCTAAAGGCCTTAGATAGACATCAGGCATTCTCAAGTAGGCATATAGCATTAAGTCTGGAGGTGACAAGGCCAATGAAACAGTTTTGTATATACAGGATGAACAATAAGATCAACAAGACTATTATGAATACAACAAACAAATGTTTCCACAAGAACAGCCAGTAATAACCTCCCACAAAGAGAATAAGGAGAAGGTCCAGGGGATTTCAGAATCCGACATGGCTTTAGCCTGTCATTTTATATCTTGTACAGCTATCAAAACATTAGCATTCTGATATTCTATCAGGAATATACACACAGCCTTCAGCTTTCACAACTGCACAAATATCCCCTTGTTCTGCTGTCAGGATGTCTAATGCCATTCAATTTTGGAGGATGGCTTGCCTCATTAATTTTATTTTATTTTTTTATTTAGGAGAAAGAGACCAGTCAGTGTCATTTAAGGCTCATGGCATATAGTTAATAAATGCCTCAATGTGTTGCATGACATCCTCCAATCCCAGGGAAGGGTCAAAGACAGAAGCCAAATGATCATACCAGTGAAATACACTTTTAGACCACTGATAGTGTAGATGGGGTGAGTTTATAGGTTTGTTGATATTTTTCCCATTCTTGCCTTTTAACCATACAAGTCCCTCTAGTTTTTCCTGTAAGGAGGTAGAAAGTTTGGTGGGGTTTTTATTTTTGTTTTTTTGGTACTGGGATTGAACTCAGGACCTTGTCCTTGCAAGGCAGGCAGTGCCACCACTGAGCTAAATCCCCAGCCCTGAGAGTTTGGTGGTTTTGAAGGACAATTTTAGCTAAAGAACTTAAAGACTGTTGTTGAGCTTTTATAGCTTTTATCATAGTTTTTTCCTCACTGAACCATAAAAATGGTCAGATACTGATGTGCCTGGAAACTGCCAGAAGGGTTCAGTAATTGGAGCACCTTTTTATATCTAGTTTTTAGGAATATAATATTGTTTTTATATTCTTTTTGGTTTTACTTCTCTGCTGGGTATTTAAGACCAAGTTAAAATGAGACCCACGTTAATAAAAATTAAACTCTTGCTGTCTATCAGGGTCACATGTCTCCTCAGGCATTACTTTTGGAACCATGTACAGAGCTTCTCAGATCCTCTGTCAGTGTCAACTGCCAGGATGGCTCACAGTCTTGACTGATCAAGTTGGTTTCTGTGAAGGCATGGGAAGTTTTTTCTATGGTGACCCTCTTTTGGCACACTGTAGATTTGTTGATTCTTGTCCTCTGGGGTCCAGCAATCTTCCTGCTCAGGAGGTTTGATAACTCACCAAAGTTGTAGGATCTTAGAGAAAAGGTTCCCTCTTGTCCTGGATCATTGTTGGCCTTGGAGGGTCAGGGCCAAAATACTGGCTGTTCTCTTAGCCCAGTTACCTTTCTACCTCTGGTCTCCAAATTTTATTTTTTTTCCTTAGATTCTTTTATTGGTACATTTTAGGTATACAATACATTTAATTTGTCATTGGGTCCTTGTACCTTTACATGATATATCTTGGTTTTTATTTTTTCCCCATTTCCTGTCCTCCCTTCACCCCCTCCACCCTTCCTTATTTACAAAGAATTTGTTTCCATTTTTTACTTTTCTCATTATTTTTCCTTCCCTTTCCTTTCGCCTACCCCTCCAACGTCCCCTACCCCTTTGGACCTTTGCGTACTATTTCCCATTATCAGTTACTCATTTTAATCATTATGTATTCTTTCAGTTTCTCACACCAGAGAAACTTTGGTATTTACACGTGTGTCCTATTTATTTCACTTAAGAGTATGG